GAAGGGGGAAAGGTTAGCGTACGCCGTTCGATGAATTACCAGTCACGTTTACAGAAATACGAAAAAACCATTGTGTCACGTCGGAACGATCGAAAAAAGATTTGAATGGCAAATGGAAAACCTTTAAACGATATTTACATCGATTTCTGCTAAACCTTTCACGCGTAATCACCGAATTCGAGCGTCATCGTGCTTTTCGCGAGTGTCTTCCTTTCGAGCGTACAGCTTTTATTTATTTCCATCGAGGCGGCTAAATCGTTACGACACGTCGAGCTATAATTGTTTATCTGGTCACTTACGTTCGTGCCATATTTCCGCATTAATGTTTCATTACCCCGTCTATTTTTACGCGATCGCCGCGGCCATGGTCGGCAAACTTTTCTTTCCACGCATTCTCCTCGAGGAAAAAATACCAACCGTTCACGCTATTTTTTCTCTCGTGAATGATGAACGATTAAAAGATTGATTGTACGAGAAGTTGATTAAAATTAAACACAACGCCTTTCGGCACCCGTTAATTACCGCTGCGAAATTAACGTTCCCGGGGATAAGGGTATTGTAGGAAAGGGGAAACTCGCCGTTATAATACTCGAAAGTTCTCACTTGTGCTCAGCTTGCAAGACGCAGTTTCACCGGTGATGTATCGAGTGGCCATACAACACGTGACGATACAACGCGTTGCGATCTAACTCGCGGTGAAATAATGTATGACGGTCTGACGCGCCGTAATACAGTATGTGTCGATACAACGCGTGACGATACATCACGCGCCTAATTTGCATAAGCGATGGAGTCTCCTTTCCCTATATCGCCTCTTTGCCTGCAGAAGCTCGCCACTCGCTATTGTTCTAAGTCCGGTATAATATTTCCTTGTCCTACAAACCTAAAGGAGCTATCTCTAAGAGATCTCCTCTTATGAAATTCGTGTAGTTTAATGTACGAAAAAAATATATGATATATAAAGCTTATACACGATACAAATTCGGTAAAGCATGAAAAGTACTTATAGATTTCTCCGTCGACGTCTCAATGTCTTTGGCTGTCTCCTGCGACAACGTGCATTTGTAGGAACATCTGCAATTTAGCCATCGGTGGTTCTAATGACAGGGAACGCGTTAGAGCAGGAAAGTTTGACTGTGTCACGGACATAAACGAACAAGTACGAGTAAATATAACGGTGAGAAGCTTGCGCATCTGACCCGTAGTTTGTTCATCCCTGGTATAGTTCGCACAGGTTCAGTACAGGTTCTGTAGTATCTGCTGTAGCGTAGGTTAGCACGCGTAGAGGGAGAGAGGGCGACAGGTAGAGGGAGAAAGAAGGTGAAGCTAGGAGTTGATGGCGAGAGAGAAAGAGAGAGGGAGAAGAGAGAGAGAGCGAGAGAGGAGGGCGCAGCGAACCCCTAACACTTCCCCACGCCGATTCACGGCAATGCGGTACTCCTATCTATGTTTAATAGACTGCATAGGCGGCGGTAGCAGCACGTTGTCGGTCGTTTCAACGCGTCTCCCCTCTGACTTATCTTTTTTTCCATCTCCGCCGATGAGATTGTAAGAACGCTATGTATCCGTATTTGCTTCTGAATTGCCCTCAGGTATATCGATTTCTACGCTTAGTCGCCTTATTAGTCGGCCGCCACGTCGGATTGCGCGGAGATCAGCGATTAGAAGGGCTAATGAAGCAATAAAGAGAGAGATAATAGCAGAAAATTATGGCGGTACGTTGGAATCGTAGACCGACGATCCAAATCATGGCATCGATCTACGCAGCCTACGTAATACATCGACGGATTAATATTTAGTATCCTTGATCGTGTATCGTACTAGGCATGCCCACTTCCATCGTGTAAGACTAGGTGTTAACGAGGCGTTATCGTTCACTATTTGTCCTAGTATAGGAAATCTATTAATAGACCGTTTGATGTCTGGAGTTATTGACTGAAAATCTATCAGCAGGCTACTCGCTAGCGATTCATTCGTTACTCGATTCACTAGAAATACTAACAACTCTATGCAATTTCGATGCGAGTGCGAAGGTTTGAAGTTTTAATTGTACCGCGGAGAATAATTAATGCGTCGAATTTAGTTTTTCCGCCCGGAAGTTGTTTTAGTTGCTTGCATAAATTTTCGGCCGAGAACTTGCAGTAACAGAGTTTGAAGGTTCAAGTGTTGAAACGTGTATCATTGTATTCAACAGCGTTCCTGATTTGTCTGCCACGAATGATATGCTTGTAACAATATGCTCACTTTGACGTATTGTGCTGCTAAACGTCGCTACACGAGAAGCTTGATAAGACAGCGAAATTCAAGTGAAACAAACTTAACGCTGCAAGTAGTAGAACCTAGTATATATCGGACACTTTCCCTAGCTCAACAACGCCTACGTCTAATTCGACATCTAAAAAGAAAAACAAAGTACGATACTATTTGGGAATAGCTATTAAACTCTGTAATCGACAATGAAAAGATATTAATTTAATTTAATGTCCATATTTTCTGTGACAATTAAACTTGATGTAAACTAACTTGAGTGTAAACTTGATTTGGAAATTTAAACGATCTTGAACAATTATTAAGTAAAGCACAGTATCGTTTGGTGGCTAATTAATTTAGGAAAAGAAAATTCGTTTGGAGAAGAAGAAGATAAGATACTTGAATTTTATCGTTCCCGTATTTACTCGCGGAAGAGCATAACCATTGCTCTCTTTCCGTCTTCGTTCCCGTTGGAACGAGCGGTTCGCGTGTAGCAGTAACAAGTTTTACAAGCTCCGAGCCTCGTGAAAGAGGAACTGGTTCACGAATTCCTTGGACATCCCGAGCGTATAGCGACGTCTTGTAGGCCTTCTCGAGCGCAAACGTCGTTTCGTAAATAATTCGGTGTCCGTTTCGGTCAGGCTACGTGCACGGTATCGCCGATGGAGCTTTGTGAAGTAGAGACCGAACGGACCGTGTAAAATTTCGAAAAATTCCGCTTCCGTAAACCCGCGGGAAATAGAGTCGAACGAGAGACACGCGAGCGTCTGGGAACGAGAATTTTTATTCACCGAGGCGAAACGTAACTTTTCGATCTCGTTACATCCTAAGCTTCGAGCGAGGTTCGAGGAATTTCATCGAGTAATTAAAAAGTGGGGGAGAGCATTTTATTCTTCTTGATCGTTCCTCCGATTTTTATCGCGAATATAAATCAAAAACTTGTTTCGGTGGCCCGAATTGTTACGCAACAACTCTGTTCTTGACCCAGGAGATATTGTATAATATACCGTTGTGTTAACGTCCAAGTGTCGAAGTATTTTTGCCAAATTTTCTGTGTGGCCGAATGCGGCAAGAAACTCGGATGCCAAAACAATTTTCACGCGAATAGAAATTCATCGAGACGTCGATCGATGCATAGCTAGAAATATCGAGAATTTTTCGGGTCGGAACCGGAATGGCAATAAAGCTTTTTTACCCGTAACTGCTTCGACGTAACTTTCCGAAAAGAATCCTTTATACAGTTTCGAATGACCGTATTCATGCGAGATTATCACGATACCAACAAACTATCTTCTACTCAACTTTAAACTTCTTCGTATCGCGTGTAATGATCTTGTCCCCTTTTACTTCGCTATATACATACCCACCAGCGTTTTTCACCGTCTGCATCTGCCGTTTCATCGTTTGCGCTATGATCTACTTAACAATTGGCACGTAAAGGAAATTTCAGTTGTTACATCTTCTATTCTAAAAGGCTGTTATTATCATAATGCACTTTGTCTCCGAGCAACATTTGAATAACCGGATCGAGATTCCACTTGCGTAACCGAGCATTGTTCACCTAAAGATCAGCCATGACAATATGCTGCAAGAAACGTAGCCGTTTGAATGAATCAAAGGCATATTTTAAATTTCATACATTTTTTCGACAGGATTAAACAACTGCATCGATCAATCACGTCGGTTTGGAAAGCAGACTTTCTTTCAATTTTTAGAATTCGTCTCGTGTGAATACTAACTGGCAAACTAACGCGTACACGCGTCTGGAGCAAGTATTGTATCGCCTCGTATTGATGTATCGCCAGGTGCACACTCGTCATGCGTCGTATCGCGACGTTAATAACTAATTTGTCACGCAATCGATATACTAAAGTTTCAACGTGTTTCCACAAATTGAAAGTCCTTTAATCGGAATAATTTCGGAACGTGTCCGATTGTCGAAAAGCTTGTAAAGCGATGTTAAAGCGACCAGAACAAATATTTGTCGAGGCAGCGAAGTGTTGTTAAGCATCAAAACGGCGAGCATAGAGGAAAAGTTTGAGATTTTCTGGCGTAATAAAATCGGGCGAGTTTTGAGGAGCGATAGAAGCTACCTCGTATCTTTGAATAGATTGCGAACGCGGTCCAATAACGCGTGTGTAATAACGTTCACGGCCGAGCAGCGCCATATTCCTGCGACTGCGGTTCGATATTCCTCCTGGTTTCGGTGTAGCATCGTACCGAATTTACTCGCACCACTGCGAAGACGGATTATCGCGAGCACCGGAGCTTCCGGAAATTCTCAGGCGTTCGAGCGTGAAAGAACGCTTAACCTCGTGAGCGGAAATTATGAGTCTCTGATGTATGAGTTCTCTGCAACTAGACTCTGCCAGATTAGGTTCGTTAGAATGTTTAACTTCTCGCTCTACCAGTATTTGTTTCTAGAGTAAAGCGGTCGCCCTTATGTTTCGGGACGCTTACTCAGAAAGTCAAAAGGCTATATTCACATTTATACTGGCACGTATGTCGTTGCCAGATACTGACACTTTATTAATACCGACGTTGATTTTGACACTGTCGCTGATGCTAATTCTGACATTCCTACTATTACTGACATTTTTATATACGCATACCTAATGCCTATACCTATTCCACTGCTGCAGTAGCGTTGTTTTTATAGATTTTTAAATTGGAATTAATATGGATGTCTATCTAATGCTCGATGCCAATTAAATTCTTAGTTGATGCGAATAATAAACTTTATATTCAAGTTTACATTCTACAATATTGTTGACGCTGTAGCAAATATCCTCCAAGGCAATGTTATTGATACTCTGGTGCCAGAGGGACCTGAGATATCCGATGAATCTACCTGCAACGTCAGCACAATGTCGTGACACTTAATCTCCTCTCGCACCGCTCACATCGGGAAGCCTTTGTCGCTAATCAGCGTAGAAACTGACGTTTCATTCGTGTCACTTCAGATCGTTCAACTTAATTATTGCTCGGAACATATCAGAATCTAACCGTGTCTACGCGAGCCATTCCGGAAGCCTCAAAGAAGCGATTAGGTCCTCGCCATCTTTGCACGCTTATGACCCTCGTAATAATCAGCGTAGCAACCAGTTTGCAAACTGGGCATAAATGTACCCAAAGGATTAAACAGCTCGATGTATCAGGTGGCATCGCGTCAATATTTGTCGGAACGATAGTTAGCTCATGATGTATTTCCCCGCTTCCCTCGGGGAAAGAATATAAAAGCTATCGAGTATATCGATGGCGTTCACGTGTCGCGTTTTAGCCACTGTTAGATGCGTTTTCTATGCCTGAACACGTTCGGGTCGCTCTTAAGTCACGGAATTCTCGAAAAATTCGTTGCTGGCTACCGTTCTCCTATCGATCCACGCTCGACCTCTGGTATACTATAATCTCGAGAATTTTTAAGGTGCACCATCTACGATATGGAAAGCGACGTGTCCCGCTTGGGAAATATTGCTCTCGTTACTTCTCCAATATTTCGCTAGCCATGACGCGTTGCGGAACGAGAAAATATCACCAATTTCATCGGCGATCATTGTTAGCGCGTTCGTTTTTTATTATCGAACAATAAGTCGTTGAAACAACGGTATTTTAATATAGCTTCAAACTCGTTTCTATTCCAATTTTCCAAATCTTCCTTTAAGTGTCACATTTCTTTCAAGTAGGCGAAGCGATATAATAAACAAGCACGCGTGCATAGTTCAAAGTTTCGAGATATCGGTCCAATAACCTTTCTGGCAAGTAGAAAGAGAACTAGAACGAAAGGATCGATGCATGATCGTCGGTATCCGACTACATCGTCGAAGGGGCGTTTTATTTCGTCGTAATCAGCGGCAGGAAAGGCCGATAATAACAAGATGCGTGCGAAAGTATGCACGAGAGGCGGTGCACACGCGAGAATAGCAACACGTGGCAGATTATAATGTGTAGAATGGTTCGGGTCGAAGCTAGACGAGTGATTTGGCAAGCTCCTTCGACGTCTGGGAACGCCGGCGACGCTCATGGGATGTAAACTCCGCAGGGGGTTAAGGCCGAAGAATAGTCGAAAGGGGGGCAAACGAGTAATTGAATTAACCAGCCAAGGTTCTGGCTATACCTCTTTCACGGCTACGACTACCGCTCCGCGAATCAACTTCGCGACGAATTTCATTGTACAATTTTGTCCTCTCATTTTTCAAAACTCGTTTAACAATGAACAAAACGCTTTTCAATGCCGCTGTATGCAGTAATATTGTCACGATTTTTCGAAATATTCGTATCGGTTTTAAACGTTGTAACAGTTCCGGCTAATGTTTGAATGAAATTACCGGATTAAATATATTGCTACGTTAAATACAACCAAATGGAATGTTCGACAATTGCGAGCCGGCAAGCAAAGTGTTTTCGCTCGAACGCCAATCAGATAGAATGTACAGGTAACAGAGAATGCGCGTGCAATCAACAGAGATCAATTAGTTCGTTCATTATTGGACATCGTTCCTGCATCGCTGCATCCCATTTGCTTGGGAAACAAAGAATATTAATGCAAACAAATGATCGTCGATTACTTCTGCCTAGTACGATTTCATCGCTCTCGTAACGATGTGCCCCTTCTTTATTACAAAAGTTATTTGTATCAACGCAAAATAGTTTAAGGGAAAACATAATTTCAGCAATAGTTATAGGTTCTTAGATACAAATATAGGGCGGTTCAATGTTTGATGGCAATTAATTACTAAGTAGATGGGTTTTAAATAAATGGATTTGCAGTTTTATCCAACCTGCAAGTATTACCAAAAATTTTATCAGAATTGTCTTTCTGGCACTTCCATGCGATATTGCAAAGGGAAATGGTAATAGTATTTTTCTCAACAGTAAGCTAGCTATAAATACTTTTTGTACAGGTGTTAAGAGAAAGTAAGAGTTAAAAGAAAAATCTGAATGGCATCGATTAATAATTCGATCGATAAAGGCTAGTTAAATCGATGGAAGTAAGTGGGTGATCGGATCAGGCTGGTCACGCTCATAGAAAGTAGTGTAACCCGACTCGCTTTAAGACGTCGCTCGTGAACGGTAGCCCGGTGTTTGTCAAACCCATCCACGTGTCCGACAGCTTGAATGGATGTCTACATTCAAATCCATTTAAGAGTACTTTGTCGAGTCTCTTCCTCGATGGCCAACACGTCGGTTCCTGAGAGACGTCTTTAATCCGAGCCCGAAGAAGCGTCGCGTGACACTGTAAACCAAGTCATTTAAAATTCTCTAAGCTTCGATTTGTTACGACCGTCCACTTTGTCGTTTCCACACGATCCGCTGTTTCTTTAATCTCTCGCGATTGCATTCGCCGTTTAATTTATATTAACTACCCAGCCAAGCGAGCACGAAATTTTTTACCAAAACTGATTATAATTTGTCGAGGTTATTCGCAGCAATGACTTTGATAATATTTCGCGACGTATTTAGAACCTATACATTTTCATGGATATCGTCTTCGTTAATAAATCTGGCGAATCCGACTGCTTTGACTGCGGAGAGTTAATAATTCTAATAATAATAATGAGCTTGATTAATATCGTCATCCAATAAGGCTTGAACTCCTAAACGCAGAAATTTAAGCGTGGTTCATTAACCCTTTAGACCGGTCGCAGCCTGAACCCGGTACATCGACCAACTTGTAACGAGTTTTGTATCGATTGTTAGCGTGCACCGAGATATCGGGGTTGTGATTGATTCGCTGGAAGCAGTTGTTCATTACCGCAATCACTTTGACGATCGCGCGATAATTTTTACGTACACGCGTTTACGATGAAACTTGAAGGAAGATTATGTGCGGACAGGGATAAAAGGATTCTTTACACGCGTCGAGTGAATTCGAAGTTCGCGTGTCGTCTAGCTTTTACGAGGGTAAACAGCGATCACTAGCAAAGCAATTTCTTCTTTTTCTCAATTACCAATCTTTTATTTGTTTATACGTCAAATTATTAACATTAAAAGTAGAATGCAAGGGATTAACGGCCACCTATTTCTTTTTTAATGTTACATAACGTGTTCGCGTTGATTGGTCGCTGGTATCGTCTTAGGAGTTTCAATTTTTATTCTGGACGTTTTCCAAAGCGGTAACGTGAAAACGACCAAACAAAAACGGCAATGCAAGTTAAATACCGTTCTCGCTCATTTTAACAGCCTCCTGCTGAGGCAGAATAACGAGCGCAATAAAACGACCGGTCATTGTGCATGATGGAAACGCGAATTATGTGCTCCGACTCATTGAGCATTTTCTTTGCAACTATAATTGAGATAGCATTCTAGAAATTTCACCTCGTTTTACACTTTCTTTCTTACATTACAATTTCGAAATCTTTTGTCAAAGAAATGTTACATAAGTGTCTTGCAAGAGACTTGCCAATTATTTGGTACAATACGATTCTTTAATGGATGCAGATGTTCCAAATGTAATTCGATTGATTTAGTTTCACAATAAAAAGGACTTTGGAATTAGAAATGGTGGCAAATTTGATAAACATCGTAATAGAGAGACTGTTATAAAAAATGGGTCTCCATGAAAGTTTGTAAAAGTACGTCAGGGAATGTTTAATTTGAATGGTGACGACAGTACCGGTACACTAGAATTTTAGTTGGCGAGTGGTATTTGAAGCGTGACGACATTAAAGTCAAAAGTCCTCGTAAGACAATCGAGGGTCGATATAAAGCGAGAGAGAACAGAGGTCCTCGAGCAAAGAAAAACCCAGCATCTCTCGGGTAGTGGAAGAAATCCGTTAAAGGTCGATAAAGCCAGGGAAACGATAGTAGGACGGCTTTTATCGGTGACGTAGTAGAAATAAGAGGTTCTCCTCGTGGGACCCGTTGCTCTAGCGAGATTTCCTATTGCGTGTTCGCGCGAGTACAGTTTCCTTTGACCAGCGTCCGGCGAGGAATGCGGGGGAAAATTGCGCGCGTTGAATTGTTGCCAAATCGAATTCGCTCACGGGACAACCGTCAACCGGGCGTTCTTGCCAAATTCGACCGCAGCACGCTACGTATGTCGCTCTATAAATTGCCCAATCGAGAACCGAAACGGACTCTGCTCTTTCCACCTTCCTTTCTTGTCGTTCTCTCAACGACTATTGCAACTGCTATTGTTAGTTCAATCGTACGAGTGTCACTCGTCAAATTTGGCACATGGAACCAGTTTATAGAACAACTTGGAGGTGGCTTGAGAGCGTGAAGATATTCAGTGCGGGGGAACTCAATGTGTAGAAATTTTGTGCGTAGGAATTCAATGAGTGGAGATTGCATGCGTAGGAATTCAACGCGTAAGAATTCAGCGCGTAGGAATTCAATGCGTGGAGTTCCAAGTAGTAGGAATACAGCGCGTGGAATTCCAAGGCGGAGGAATTCAGCGCGTAGGAATTCAATGCGTGGGATTCCAAGACGTAGAAATTCAGCGCGTGAAATTCCAGGGCGTAGGAATTCAGCGTGTGGAAATTCAACGCGTAGAAATTCAATGCGTGAAATTCCAAGGCGTAGAAATTCAGCGCGTGGAATTCCAAGGCGTAGAAATTCAGCGCGTGGAATTCCAAGGCGTAGAAATTCAGCGCGTGGAATTCCAAGGCGTAGAAATTCAGCGCGTGGAATTCCAAGGCGTAGAAATTCAGCGCGTGGAATTCCAAGGCGTAGAAATTCAGCGCGTGGAATTCCAAGGCGTAGAAATTCAGCGCGTGGAATTCCAAGGCGTAGAAATTCAGCGCGTGGAATTCCAAGGCGTAGAAATTCAGCGCGTGGAATTCCAAGGCGTAGAAATTCAGCGCGTGGAATTCCAGGGCGTAGGAATTCAGCGTGTGGAAATTCAGCGCATAGGAATTCAACGCGTGGAGTTCCA